TGCAAGAAAATGTCTAAAGTTTCTGGGTTTTTGCTGTTGATAATGGCAAAATTTGTTCAGAGAGAAGGAAATTATGCTGAAAGGATAGTTTGCAAGGTTGGTTGTTCTGCTTTGGTTTGTTTTATAAGTTAGTTTTGATTGAAGAGTAAAACTTGGTGTTTTTTATTTTTTTTATTGTTATTAGTGGCTTTGTTGATTTGTCTGATAAGTTTTCTGGGTTGATGTCAGATGCTATAACAGAAAGATCGACAGTTCATGATCGTTAAGTGGAACGGAAAGTTTTAACTGTGGAAATTTTACTGGAGATGAAGAGAAATCGTGTAAACAATGTCGAGGCTTCTTTTATAATCGGTTCAAGTTTTAAGAAAGAGCCCTGAAGAAGAACTGTACTTCTTGTGATTCGAGACACGATTGGAGGAGTCATCTGGGGATGGCAATGAGGATAATTCATTGGCATTGGTACCCATCAAAGCAAGAGGTGGCTATAGTTCGAATTCCTGGTAGTTCACGAATTGCCGGCGAAACAGTTGGTCACCTTCGTCGGGTGTTTTCCCCCAAACAGCAGCACTTGGAGAAATCTCGAGAACAAGACATCTTGATTCAGTGGGTACTGAGACTTCCAAGCCGGTATACTTCTGCTGTTGTCTATCCTGATCATAACAGAGTCAATCTGTAGCACGGATGAGGATCTCTATTCCATGTTGGATGGGGAGAGTGGGGCAATGTGGCTTTTGATAATGAGGCTATGCATCCTCTTTCACCGTATCATGGATTTCCCAAAGAGTGGAGAATTTACATGAGAGATTCCCGTCCACCTGTAGATTGTTCAGCTACAAGGAACTTTCTTTGGTTACATCTGATTCCATCCCGGTTTGTTTTCTTTCCCCAGTATTGTCTAGTTTGTTCAACGTTCATTTGGATCTATTGATAGTACTTATCTTTTATTATTATTTTTAGATAATATGGTCGGTAAAGGTGGGCATAGTCATGTTATAGAGGGTCTCTTCGGCCGCAGGAACTTGCTGTGAAAATTTGAAGCCATCAGAAGGATGTGTTGAAAGAGTTTGTTTCGGAGATGAGATCATTACATTTTACACCACAAGAATATAATCTCCTTATTGGATTCTGTTTGAGGACAATAAATTGCTCTGGTGTATGACTTCTGTCAAGAGGAAGCCTGAAGAGAGCCTTCATGGTAAATATTTTGTTGTGGTGAAATAACACCTGGGATCGGAAAAAAAAAAAACAAAAAAAAAAAAAAAAAAAACAAAATCTTATTTATACTATTTATGATGTTCTTATCACTCAATGCCTGCTTTCTAATTCAGGTAATAGAAGGATGCGATAGCATTTGGTTGGAATGAAAGGTATAAAGTGGCTGTGGGTGTAGCTGAGGCACGGATTATCTCACAATATGTGATCAACCAGTCATCCACAAGGATGTGAATCTTCTAACATTCTTCTATCAGATGATTTTGAACCACAGGGGCCGTATGTTAAACATTGTGCAAAATTCAGCTTCTGGTAATTTGCTGAAGCTTTTTCAAACTCACTACAATCTGTTTTGTTTCAGTGTCTGATTTTGGATTAGCCAGCTGGGCTTCAACTTCATCATCATTTAGTTGTACAATGTTGCGGGAACCTTGGGTGTGTATTTTATTCTTGACTTCTTTAGTTTCTTTTCCACTCAGATATGATTAGTAACTATATGTTTCTTGCAGTTACTTGGCCCCTGAATATTTCATGCATGGAAAAGTGAGTGACAAAATTGATGTCTATGCGTTTGGTGGTGTGCTTCTGGAGCTCTTCTGGTAGAAAGCCGATTAAGAGAAAACCCAAGGGGAGGAGAGCCTTGTTATGTGGGTAAGTTTTACCTCATGGTTAAACTTCAGCCTTTTCATATGCTGGGGAGAATCTTTTTAATTTTTATTGTCGCTAAAGATGAATAAAATGAAAATTGGTGTGTGAAATAAATGAGTGACTACATGATTTTTGGGTTGGGGTGTTAGTTCTATCAACTGCTTTTAGTGACTCACAAAGTTTTATCGGACCTGATACATCCGGTATTTGTCGACATATGACAGTTCAATGCATGAATCTGGACTTCTCTATAGAATTTCCCTTGCCCTGCTGTGTTCCTCTGATAGTTCTGTTAGTAGCATTCTGAATTTAAATGTGATATAGTAATAACGGTATGATGATGATATCTAGGCTAAACCAATTCTGAAGGATGCAAGTTTTCACATTGCGGACCAAGTTTAGACCAGATTTTGATAATGATCAGATTGAAGAATGGTTTTGGCTGCAACACTATGCATCATAGAGCTCCCACTTAGGCCTCAATTAACCTTGTAAGTTATCTTCTTTTAGAAATTTTCACTAATCTTTCAAATTTTCTGCCTTTCCAATTCATGCTGCTTATTGGCCAGGCAGGTTTTAAAACTTCTCAAGGTGATGAGGAAGCAACAAGTGGGCAAGGCAACAAGGTGGTGCACAGAAGAGCTTGATCTCATTGATGGTGGAAGCATTTCTAATAATATCCAATCCCATCTGAACCTTGCACTTCTAGTGTGGATGACGATACACTTTCTACAGTGCACTGAGCAAACTGTATCAATAGAAGATTACTTGCAAGGGAGAGGAGTCGAACATCAAGCTTCGACTAGCCATGTTTTTGTTGAAAGCTACTGTGCAACTCTTTTTCCACTGGTTGTGTACATTCCTTTCAGTTGGTTAGTCTCTCCATATTTTTGCTTTAATGACAGAAACTGGGTCCTGGAAGAGAGGTCTTCGGAAGAGTTTTGCCTCCCTGATTTGAAGCTGTGTTGCAGTCAATGTATCCGCAGGCTGGTTTTGATCTCCAAGTGCATAATCAGTCGCATGGATAATAACACAAGGTTTTCCACAAATGGCCTGAAAGCGGCGGCGAATATTGGTGCATAAGTAATTAGTTTTTGATGAAATTGTAAAATGTGTCTGATCTTCAGTTTTGAAAAGTGATGTATAGAACAGAACCAGAATTGGTTTTCACAACGAGCTTCTCTTTGGAGCTCCATCTGCTCTCTTTAAGAAATTTACTTGTTAACATCTTTTCTTTTTAAGTTAAATACTTTTTTCAGAATTCTTTCTTTCTAGTCTGTAAATTCTTTTCCGTCTGCCCTCAATGTTCTCTTGTGGTTTTAAACATAGGGTTTATTTATTTTACCGTCTATGAGATTGTTTAGTATTAACTCATGCACTTTGTTAAGAAGATTAAAAAAATTCCTCTTAGGGGGTTTTCATAATCTTAAAAGGGAAAGATTTTTAAGGGGTTTTTTTTCAATATATTTTAAGGGGTGGTTGTTTTGTAATACTTTTTTAAAAAGTGAACTACAGGGGAAAAATTGAAATAAACTTTTTGACTTTTAAGTCTAAATATGGGGAGTTCTATCATTCTGAAATTATAAAAAAATGACCTAAAATTATGAATCTCTATGTATTAACTTATTAAAATTGTCATAAATCCCTCCTTAAAATATTTATGACATTCTTAAACTATGATAAGAGCTGATGCTACACTATTAGAGTTTATATAATACATTTAGAGTGTATAAACTTTTCTAACGTAAGCACTTCTGTAATCTTAATGGTCATTTTGACGTAGATTCAGTGACATAGACATAACTCTAATCCAAAAGTCGAATCGAAACAATTCTTGAACCTGTAGAAAAATATTCAATCCTTTACAAAGTTGAAGACACTTAGAAGATCAAATCAACATTTGATGGATCGAAATTGGGCTGCAACGAACTGGACTAAACTAAAAGCTCAGCCCACATACCTCAGTATTTGGAGTGTATCTCAGAACATACGTATCCAATACATGATTCTGAACTGCGGAAATATAAGAAAACTATCTACAACTTTTCTGTTCAGACCTGAACAAGATTAGGAAGGCACCATTGCCAGAATTTGGTGCATATGAAAAGTTAAATTTGGCAATTTGCATGCAACTTGTAGTTTCTATTGTGACAATGTGTCTTCCAATTTTCTATAAGTAGAATAGTGTTAAGATTAGCGAAGGGAGCTCATATTTTGGGTGAAAATGAGTTCATTTTTTCTTTCTTTTTCCTTGCTCTTTTTCTTTTCTTGTGATAATTATTCATCACCCTTAAGTTTTTCAATTCAAGATAGTTCATTTCTTCTCTATACTTCTTCTTCTCATCTTCATTAGCTTAATTAATTTTCATTTTGCTGGGGTAAAGGGTGAAGCTCTTGGCACAGAATAAGGTTAGTCTAAACTCATAAGTGACTCTAACGTTCATATTCTTCATTTGTTACAATAAAGTGTGTATATTTTCTTAATCAATTTATAAACCCTCCTTGCAAAGTGAGGGTCTTGATTCATTGTGGACTATTATTGCACAACAATACCTAGTCCCATTTAGAGAAACGACTGTCTATAGTGGGAATCTTGATTTGTTGTAAACAAGGATGGGACATTGAGTACTTCAATTATTTGCAAGTGTGCAGTTAAAAGATAAAAAGGGAATTTATACAATTACTTTATAAGTAAAAAGTTTTTGTTGATAAGTCCTCCAATGGAGACAACCTTTGTGAGTGAATTCAAATCGAGTTATAAAGAGTTAAACTTGTTCTATTGATATGTGAGAGTGGACTCGTTACCTTAGCCGCCTTTTAATTTGAAATTTTCCTGAATAAATTCTGAACATCTATTATTTCTTTCTTTTATGTTGTGTATTTGTAACCTCTAATTAACTTCTGTGGATTCGTAATCGAACTTCCAAGACTTCTCATTTAAGCAACCTACAAATGGTTTACAATATAAAAGTTGTAAAAGTTTTGGTGTCTTTGCCGGGAGTACAAATTAGAGTACCAAGCCCATATATATATTATATACAAAAAATTCCTATACATGATTCATAAGCTAACTACACCAGAATTGATAACGAAATTAAAATTTACAAAAACTGTAATTAGAAGTTGAAGGGTAATCACCATGTTTGATGATGCATCATCTCCTATATGGCTTCAAATGATAATTTTGGAACTCCGAACCAAATGTTATTGACTCTTCGTCAAGCTTCTTCTTCAATCTTCTCCATGTTCTCAACATATCAGACTGTATTAATCCCCGATAAAGGGTCTCAAACGTAACTTTTTGCGGAAGCAATCCCTTCTCTATCATCTCAACAAAAAACTGACAAGCCTCCTTCCACTTTTGTTTCTCACACAGCCCATGAATCAACATCGTGTAAGAATCCAAATCTGGACCCACCTCACTTCCTTTCATATCACCCCATATCTCCTTCACAATCTCCATTCGATTCAACTTCATAAACATCCCTAGCAATATATTATAACTATGTCCACTTGGCACGCACAAACCGTCCTCCTTCATCTTCCTATACAACTTCAGGGCACCATCTGCATCCTTCCTTCCTCTATACTCCTTAAAGAAACAATTATAAGTCATAGCCGAAGGACTAACACCATTCCTGACCATCTCTTCAAGCAACTGCTCGGCGTCCTCTAGCTTCCCACACGAACAAAGACACTTAACAGCAGAAGTATAAGTCACAACACTCGGACAGATCCCTTTTTCTTGCATCAACTTCAACTTGTCCATAGTCAACTGAGGCTTATGCGCCCGACTATACACATGTAAAACAATCGAAAAACTAGTGACATCCGGCTCAATCCCTCTCATACGCATTTCATCGAACACTTTCTCCGCTCTCATTATCGTCCTCTCAAACCTCTCATCAGGATGCAAACTCGCCCTCCTGCAAACCCCATTAAGCAACACATTATAAGTCACCACATTCGGCTCAATCCCTCGCTCAATCATCTCATTCAAAAACCTCTCCGCCATATCAATTCGACTAATTTTACACCACCCATATATCAAACTCGTGTACATTTTCACATTCCCTATAATCTCATGTTTCTTCTTACGAAAAACATCAACCGCCACTCTCACATAACCATACTTACAGAGAGTGTCGAGCAAAAAACTAAAATTAACTTCCTCATCCATGTCTTCCTTCTCTACAAAACATTTCATATCATCGAAAGCTCGAACCGCCTGCCGGGTGAGGCCAGCGGCGATCAGTCTACGAATTAAAATCAAGAAAGCGGAGGAAATGGGGGCGACGTTTTGTTGGTCCATTTGGATGATGAGTTGCCAAATGACGTCGAATTGGCGGACTTTGGAGAGGATGTCGATGATGAGGTTGTAGGAAGAGGGTGGGGAAGGGGCGTGGGGAGGGATAGATTGGGAAAAGTGGAAAAAAGCGAGGGCAATTTTGGAAGAATGTTGGAGGCGGAGGAGGGTTTGGTTGAGGAGATGAGGGGAGAGAGAGATGCCGTGGAGTTGAAGAGAAGACTCCATGGCGTGGAAGGGGTTGTGATGAGTGAGGAGAATTTGGGAGAGCAGATCGGCGTCGTTTGAGGGCTCCAGTTTTGGGAGGTCAAGAATCGGGACGGCGTCGCACTGGGTGGAGAAGACGTTTGGAGAATTTAGAGAAAGGAAAGGAGAGAAGATTCGGAGGGACAGAGAGGAAGTAAGAATTCGAGTTCGAAGCGCCATTTTAGACAACTGTAAGTTAAGAGTCAGTCTTTTGGAGAATTAGTGTTTTGTTATGCCAAAGTACTCATGTACTAGTTCTTTTGGTACAGGTTTATAACAATTTCCTCCTCAAGGTTTGGATAAATAATAAACGCATTCAAATATTTCGAAAAGTATCAAATGCTCTAAACTCTAAAGTCTCAAAAAGAATGACAAGTATCATGAAATTCTTTACTTTACTACCTGAAGACTGTAAAACTCTTTGTCTAATTATGATATTCTTTTCAGGTTTTCAATTTTATAATTTTATTTTGATTATATAAATAATAATATTTGTTAGCCGATTTTATATAATATGTTATAATGATATGAATAGTTAAATTAAAATAAATATATGAATAGTTAAAATATTTTTTAATTTTATACAATAAATTGAAAATAAAATAAAACTTATAGCCCTTCGTGGGTAGCGGTTGCATAATTTATGGCCCTTTGGAGGCCGTAGGTAGCCAGCCATTTGGTCGCCAATAATACTATACTTACAAAAGAATCTTACAAAGATTTCTATACAAAGTGAGGTGGTAAAATATGAATGGAAGAGTGAAACAAAAAGTCAAACTCACTAAATTCACCATTCCATTCATTTTTTGTCACATCACTTTGTATGAAGATCTTTGTAAAATTTCTTTGTAAGTGTAGTATTACTCTTTGGTCGCCAGGCAACCCAAATAGCCATTTGTGAACACATCCAATCCACACTATTGAAAAGTCACCATCGCACATTTTTTCGCTCAGACCATTTCTATCAAAACACAATAAAAACTTAAAAGAGTATTATAATCGGACAGAGGGTATTTTAGTGTTTATCTAATCACTAATGCTAATGCTATTTGTACAAAGCCTCTTACAAAGTGACGTAACACGTCACATGGCATGTCATGTCAGTGCTATGTGACATGTGGGCCACATTACTTAATCCTTAAAAATTTTAAAAAAAAAATTCAAACCCAAAATTTCCAAATCAAATTCCCTCTCAAATTTTACAATCCCTAAATCTGATTTTCTATTTCTTCTTCGCCATTTTTCGATTTTCTATTTCTTGTTCTTCTTCTCCATCGCTCTTCTCCATTTTTCATTTTTCTATTTCCTCTTCTTCTTCTTCTTCTTCGCTCCTATTTCTTCTTCTCCGTTTTTCAATTTTCTATTTCTTCTTCTTTTTCTCCATCGCTCTTCTCCCTGCCGACAAACCAAACCCTAACCTTAACCCTAACCACTGAAACCATAGAGAGTCCAGCCCTGTTGTTTCAAAAGCTTCTAAAATCTGATGAGGAACCAAAAGAGAGAATTGAACAAAGTGACCACCGTGGATTCTCCGAAATTTCGCTGTTACCTCCGCCGCGGCTCTTCGCTAGAAAAGTGTGAGTCTCTTAATACGGATAAGTCCTCTTTCAATTGAATTTATGTTGACTTTGATTCTAACTGTTTAGTAGACAAGTTGAAAAGATGTTAATGCTAAAACTCCTGTTTCTTTCGATGTCTGTATGATATATTTTATTGAGAGGAATTCACTCTTGGTCGCTATAATTTTTTCTTTACCATGCATTAAATGGAAATTTGTTATCATTACCACTCATGGAAGTGGCATGCATTCTTTCTTCTCTTGGAGTCTATTTTAAAATTTAGATTGGTTTTGAATCTTAATTTTTGAAACCTAGTTGTAAAACCATGTCTATGGATCAATTTTGATCCATTACAGTGTAGAAATGTGGCTTAGCTATATAACAGAGCAATTGAACCAATATGCCATTTGTAACTTGTCCATTTTATCTTTTGCCAGCTTTTCTGTTAAAAACAAATTTTTGGATTCGTTTTTGTGCCAACATTGTCAATTGAGCTGCAGTGACTGTTAATTAACTTATTCATTTCTAATTGTTGTAAGGGAATTCTATTAGAAATGGTCACGGTAATGCTTCAAATATCAATTGGAAAAATAGTTCAGGGAAAAATTATGTAAGAAATCCAAAAAGAGAGCAGTCATGAGGATGAGTGCTTTTACCTTTTTTATTTTTTGGTTTACGATTTATGCTGGTATAAGATTTCGACTAGTTATTTGTTTTCTATTTATTGCAAGTGAAACAAATCACCCTTGCTATATTTATTTGGATTGTTATAGCAAAGGAAATGTAATCTATTGCCTAAACAAATTTAGAAGTTTGATGTACAACCAAAGATGCGCGGACTGTGGACTGCAGGAGGCTGGAGAATTTGTTGCAGAGGGCTGATAATGTTAAGCTTTGGATATGTAACGATCACTATGATACAGTTCATTTATACTGAAGCAGTTATTGGACCTCTTCTGTATTGATATTGTTGCCATATAGGTTGTTAATTGTTGGGGCCATTAAGTTTTGTGATTCCTTAGGCTTACCAAGTTGATTGCTCAAGAATGAGCCTGGATTGATCTGAATGTAAATTATATGTTCTGACCCACTTGAAATTAATGTTAGTATCTTTGTTGCTCTTGGTATAAGTGAAGAAGAAATTTTTCTTTGTTCTCAAATTTAAATCTGCAGCAGGTGCCTTGCATTGCGGCTACGATTTGACAGTCCACAAAATGTAGCTATGAGTTGAATGACAATTCTCTTTTTACTTTTAACCTTTCCATTCAAAATTAGAGAAAGTAATGTCCTGTTATTTTTAGATAATAAACTATAATTGCTACGCATAAGAGTATTTAATAAATCCCCAAATAATAACTTTGAAGGATAGAGAACATTATTCTGATCTGAAATCAATCTACTCATTACAACAAAATACTAGGATTTCTTACAAACATATGTAACTGAATGTTGGACTATAGCATATCATGTTAATCTTGGAACTCATTTTGATGCTAATGGGTCAAAACAGGTTACTTAGGAGTAAGTCTTTCAGCTTTTAGCTGCGCAAAGATCCTCTCAAACTTACAAGACCACTTTTTCTTAAATAAACTACTTATGCCTAGAAAAACTTAAAAGTTGACCACTTTATCACATTACTGTTAGTGTATGCCCTAGGAACCAATCGTATTGTCGGTTTCAGGACATTATATCTTGTAAATGTATTATGAATAAAAGAAAGTGTTCTTATTTTACAAGTTGATTTTCTGCTACATTTATATTATATTATATTTAATATTACATGTGAAATGTCTGGATGACACGGATCTTCAGAAGATCAAATCATCAAAGAATTCCCTACGCAAATAATGTTAATTGGGCAATAACATTGCATAGTAGGTATGCTGAAAGTCTCTATTGAATATCATGTGATGGTATTAGTGTGGGTGATTATAAGAGGTATGTCACTAAGGCATTAGCATAGATAAACGGTTAGTGAACTGTTTTTCGAATACGATCGATTGCGATGAATCACATGGATATGGTCAATGATGCATCGTAGGATCGTGCTAGTGTACCATTGATCCTTAGACTTGAGACATCACAGTTGGATTCAACATAGGATGCATATGGTTCATATGGTATATAAGCACGAGACTAGTCATGTCTTGTGTAATAAGCCAGTTTGGTCATATGTTATTCATGTGCGAGGACAAGTGATGCTCAAGATGGGATCTGTTAACTCAAAATAGTCCAATCTCGAGTTCCCAGACGAATGTCAATAAAAATTGGAAAAGGGAAATCTCTGGCCAGAGTATAATAAATGTCAAATGAAAAGTAGTTTCATGTTGACGAGTTCCATTGTATCGCTTGATAATTCGATTAAAGATTAAGTTAAAGGTTTTGACATACCATAAACCATTCTTAATCAGGATTAGATAACAGAGGGATTTGACTATACGGTACGTATGATCAGAATAGGTTCATTGGAGTTTACACTTCATTGTGGTTTAGGGGTTATGGAACATTGCTAGACGTCTACCATAATTAGTGGGAGTTTCGATTATAAAGAATTATAATGAAGTATATCAAAATCTGATATTGGGCCCACAGCTAGATTACAGTGAACCAAAATGGTCACACATAAAATCAAGCTCAAGTAGAGAGAGTAATACATATCATTAATCAGATTAATGATGTTCAGACGTAAACGGTTGCATCCGAATTAATGTATTGGTGAGAAATGATTATCCATGAATAGCTAGGCACTAACCAAGGGTAATAAGGATTTATTAAATATTATTATTGAATTGGATTCAATGATGGGGGCAAAAGTGCATTGGTTTTATTCTAAAGGGTTAGAATATTTAATGGAATTAAAATTTGGTCTAATTATGAATTAACCATAAAACCAAGGACTTGACATAAATATTTATTCTCAAGTTAATTTTAAATTGTTTGAGGCCATTTCCAAAAACCAATTTAAGTTACACTTTGTGCCCATGGTATATAATTAAGTTTTATGCCATTTTAATAGAATTGAATCAATTAAAGCAAAATCACTCTCTCATTTTCTCTCTCAATCTCACGGTTCTCCTCTTCCTGACTTTTGTGGATCACATTTTGAGGTTCTTCAACTTCACTTGAAAACTAAGATTCCAAAAAGAAGATTCAAGTGTTGAATAGCAAAGGAGTAGGTAATATTCCATCCTTACCTTGAAATTTTTTGGGCTTATGTGTTATGTTGGTGTTCTACCTCGCATCCTCATCTTGATCATCATTTTCTCTCAATTTCCATGTCCAAAATGCATGAACCCAACAAGGTATCACAGCATGCATGCATGTAGCATTTTTGGTGAAAAATGGCTTGGTTTGGAATGAATATATTTTGCTTTAGATGCATGTTGAAGTTATTGTGTATTTTAATACAAATGATCATGGATATGTGATATTCTGCTATTAACATGCTTCTATGAAATTTTGATATTTAGAATACAAAATTTCTTGTTCTTGAAGTCATATGTGCATGCATGTTTGATTTATGCATCTTGATGCATATTTGTTAAGTATGAATATATCCATTCATATGATACATGCATGTGTAATATAAGCATATTTGATGCAACTTTGATGATTTTGAGA